TTGTTTTTATTGCCTAGTCGAACTCTTGACGAACATCTGATAAAGAGCCACTTTCTTTTACGCAAGCATAATTACGAAATAATATATTTGATAATGGTCGCTTGGATGCATTAAGTTGCTATTTGTTGAGTATTTCGAAAAGTCGACGCATTGCCGCCATCTCTCAAAAGTACACACAGTAAAAATCATATCTTTATACAAATAAATTGTCTGCCATTGGAATATGCGGCAGATTTTGACTATTGACATCAGCCGATAAACATTTTTGGAGTGTGTGTACGAAAGTAGGAAAACGAAAGAAACCGAAAATAAATTGCGGAAATTTTAACATTTTTGTTTCTCTTCATATAGACAACAAAATCGGCCTGCTTCCATTGAAAGCGCACGAAAATCATAAGCGAAAACAGAGAGAAAAAAATGAACACAAGCTGACACATAAGCGTAGCTGAAACCAATTAAACTTTCTTATTCCGAGCATAATTTTTGTTTCTGTTCGTCAGTCGTGTTGTGGAACGTGGAACAATATAGACCGAGAGAGAGAGAGAGTCGTTAGCCGAATAGATTTATTATATCGATGTTTCTGCGTTTGGCATTGCAAAGAAGAACCAAAAACACGTCATGATATCATGTGTCGCACATACAGAGAGACATGTGTTTCATCAACCGCATATACTTCTTTTTCCCATTTCCACGCAATGGTGCGTCATTTTTTTATTTCGGCTCAATCAAATTGCCGGAGGTTTTTTCCCCTGTCTATCTATCAAAACTCGCATCGAACTGTGTGCCGTACTTCATTTATATCTTTTAATCTAGGCCAGAATACCGGATGGGGACAGACTTCATTTATTATTAAATTCACCATAAAAAAAAATCTGAATTTTTCATAAAAAGGAATCAACATTTTCAACTTGGAAAAAGTTCGGAGCTTTTCTGTAAAGTAGAACAAAGAAAAAAATCGGTATTAGCATCGATTCGCTCCAGAAAATTGCCGGCAAAAAATATTGTCGGCAGACACATTGCTCTTGGCAACAATCGATAATTAAGTCGGTCGCTTCGGTGCTCAATAGTGTTTTACTTGCACAAAATTTCTCATAGCACTCCAACCAATTGACAAGATTACACGAACCATTCTGTTGGGTGGAAAAAAAAAGTTTTTTGCGATTTATAGCCAATTTCTTTCTTATCCCTTCTCTTTCTATTCCACGGTTGCTGTGAGAACCGGGTATTGCTTGGAATATTTCTTTTTGTTATTCATTTTTACAAAGGGATTATTATGTAGGATCGTCATTTTATTGGATTAAAGCCCACCATTTTCAGATTTAAAAAAAATACATATAGACCCTGAATGCACTTTTTTCGATGAAAGCTATTGTAATAAAACAAATAAAAACTTAAAATTTATTGCTATGTTTTCTATTGTCGGCATTCATGTGTCTTGCGAATTACTACGCAGAAAGCTTCATTCTGAAATTCAAAGTCCGGAGACGATGTAGACACACAAAACGGAAAAGAATTATCGTTGCAAACATATTCGGATTTTTTTTGTATACGTGTGTCTGTGTCTGTTAATGTAGTCTTTGATATTCTGAATCGTTCCAACTCTTGGTTGGGTTATTTTTGAACATTCCGCAAGAGTTATGATAACCGACAAAACAATGCAATGAACCCATATCCTAAGATTCAAAGAAAATCTTCTAACGCCTTGAAAATGTTGCTCAATTTTCTTTTGCTCTCAGACGCGCGGCAATGGTTCAAAGTCATGGCATAAAACATCGTTAGAATAAAGCAATGAAATGTTGTAGTAAAAACGCTGAAAATGATGAGAAAAATTATAGTTATTTCCATATCAAGCTGAGGTTTCAGTGTAGACGGTATTTTATTACAATCACTTTCTCACTGCGTGTAGTAAATTGTGAAAAATTTCATATCGGAGTCTATCCCCGACAAACAAATGAGAAATCATTGCATTTATTATTGTATGAAAGAGAAAACTTTCAGCAACAGGCTTATTGGGAAAAGTTATGCACATTTTACGAACAAACAACATCAGCATAATCAACAGACAAAGACTGAAAATGGTGCACCCAGCTAAATTCCACATAATTTGTAAACTTCTAGCGTCCACTTAATGAGTGTACCACTCGACTGCGTCGAAAAGCGATTTGAATCCAATGAACTAGAAGTGAACTGGGAAGAAAAGTTATATAATGGTTTAAAAACTGACCGGTTTCATGACTAGAGATGATTTATACAAATTGAAAACCACATCTGGCACAAATATGCGAAACACACACGATGTGGTCAATGGTGGTGTCGGGATTACTGCATTGCCGTTTTATGCAAGAAAATTGTACAAAAAAAAATATATGTGAAAATCAAGCGAAGAACATTTGAATCGTTGCGGCGAAAGAGTAGCTCTTATTTTTCTCCAAATAATACTGCAACATAAAGTTTTTTATGAATAGTTTATTTGTTGTATTACAACAAATAAACCGTGTGAAAAAAACTTCATGTTGCAGTATTATTTGGAGAAAAATAAGAGCTACTGTTTCGCCGCAACGATTCATTTGATTAAGGTCTACTTTCGTCTGCATAAACAGAAGTACTACTCTCTTTGACAATTATTACACAAACCCTTTGATAATTATGAAATTTGCGCTGTTTAAACTTTCTACTCGTTCCTGTTTCCTTTGTAACCACACACACTTACATCCACTTTATTTGCAGCTTTTTTTACCTGTCACTTCGCCTATCATTCATAGAAAATGAAGAGAAATTGCAAATAAATAAATGTTCTGTGTATACACACAGAAGTGCATTTGTCAAGTATGTGAACGAGTGTGTGTATGGGTGTTTTAATAGAAAAAAAAACCTGTTTGCGATGAGACGGATTTTAAAGCACACCACGTACAATGTGTCTACATATCCAAACGTCTTTTGGTATGCAATTGCAGTCTTCAGTCACCCTCAACCCCCCTCCGTCTCTATTGCTCGTATGTGTGTGTACGGTCGTTTGAAGACGAGAGGTTCGACTTTTGTTTATGCATGAAACGTTTCACATGTACGAGAGCTTCGCTGAGAAAAGGATTTACAAAGTTTTTGGTTGAAATATTTTCAATGGCTTAGTTTGTATTCGTGGCTATGCTCAGCATTGCACAATAATAAAATTTCCTTTTTCGTTGTTGGAGTATTGGAAAGTTATGTCGCCTCATTAATGCATCGGTTCTAGTAGATGTGTGTGCAACATATCTGGTAAAAGCTTCAAATGAACTTTTGTATGTGTTTAGGTTGTGTGCATGTGTATGTGTTAAGCATATATTTCATCGCGCGATGCATCCATCAAAGAAGAAGAAACGATCGTGCAACCGTGTCAATGAGCGAATAGAAGTGGTAACTTTTTCTCTGTAAAGCAACAAACGGGAAAACGATAAAAAGCAACCATTGTGCATTGAGATTCTCTCATAAAAAATTCATGATGAGAGCTTCACCACTTTAGCTATACGCTTAACATTCATGTTGTTGTTGTTGTTTTTTTTTTCTCTCTGTTCTCGTGCCCCAAAGAAAGTGCTAAAAAAATGGTGTTATTTTTGTGCCTTCTTTCGTTTACACGATTTTAATTTACCTCTCATGCTCTCAACAATTCTTATACAGAAGTCTTTTCCTGGTTTTTAATCATAAGCCGACGAAGCAAAACAGCAAATAATGCAATAACACCCATCACCATCAGCACAGCTACAACCGTTCGAATTTTAAAGGTCAATGTGAATATTATTTCGCAAAGAGGAAGGGTTAAAGTGGATTTTTAAGCAAAATTATTAATGATCTCTACCCGACAACGCGCGTGTGTTTCAACGTTGGTACATTTCCGCATGGTGCGTTTTAAGAAAGAAACTCACATTTAGAAACGGCGAATGAAAATTCAGTGAAGAGTCAGAATTGATTTTTTTTTTCTTTCACTCCGCCGAAATGAAAAATCGACTACAAATTCGCGGTACTTTGAACAAATTTCTTTATTATTGTATTTCATTGCCTTGGGTACGGCGATTAAGGCACATAAAAAGTCGTTGATATAAAAATCGTGGTGGTCGGACAGGATTAATTAAATTTTTTGCACAACCTCTCGTTTGTAGTCAGCATATTTAGCGATTATATAATTATATGCATATTAGCTGTGGCACGTACCAAATGATGAATACGGTTGTAAATGGTAATTGTCTGGTGTGCACACTGCACACGTACAGGTACAATGTGAGACACTTTAAGCACAATGATCATTTATTTCGCTGAAAGTTGTTTAACACACACACACATACCAAAAAGAAAAGTTCATAAATTTTCAAACGAAGAAATGATGGGAGTTACGAGAAAAAAACATCACAATTTATGACAGAGGTGGAATTTGAAGAATGAGAGGTATGGATCTCAAAGGGCGAAAGCACGTAAATTTACATGAAGTCAAAACATGAAATGGTCTCGATTTGATGACGACGAGAATTCCAAGCGATAAAAAAAACTACATGGAAAATGGCATAATTGAAAAGTGCCAAACGAAAACAGCATTGAAAGGCAAACGCGTTCATTTCTTAATTAAGATGAGTCTGATGCAGGACATTATTCCACCCCTTTTTTCTGTAACATAATCAATCAAAACAAACAACCAAAGCAATTGGAACTGGAAAAAAAACCATTTGCGCTAATAGCACGCACCTTTCAGATAAAAACAAACCTCCAGCCCAACACAAAAATATGGCATCCGTATATGAGTGCCTAATGTTTTCTTTTAATTTGCAGCGTTTTTTCTACCGATTCAGTATCAAACGGAAATTTTCCCATTAAAACCTTGATTAAAACGGCATACTGTTTATTGTCACTCTCCCAATGCTTGTATCCGTATCACAAATTTCCTACTTGTAATTACATCTAGCTTTACACTCACACCACTAACAAAGTTTTTGCTAATTTCATTTTGCTTTTTTCTTCCCATTTTCTAAATTTTATAGGCATAGACACGCATAAGAGAGCACGCAAATGGAAAGCAGATTATGGATTTTGGTGAAAAATCGAAACGCGTATGAACGACATCAAATGTGGCAGCATTTCCAATCGAAAAAAGCGTTCAAATGCAATGCAAATACGATGAGGAATTAGATGAAAGCCGAACTGAGCCAAATCGGTCATCGAAAAAGCAGTTTGTCGTTATAAGCTGCATCGATTCGTTTATCTCAAATTCGTTGTCATCATCAAAACGATTTTGTCGATGATATCGTTATTATCGTGGTGGTTTGGCAATGCGCTTGTATTGGCTGTGGTCGTCGTCGCCAAAATTCAAGCCCAAAATGTACAATTGTCAGCATTTAAAAATGCCGAATTACCGGTTGTGGCTGGCGATGGAGTCAAATCGACAACATCGGCAACTGTATGCGGTGGTATGCTTACAGCAACACAAGGTGTCATTCAAACGCCAAACTTTCCCGATAAGTTTCCGGTACCGATTCAATGCACATGGATCATTGATGCATCGTCTATTAATAAGAAGAATGTTTCAATAATTGTCTATTTGACACAACAGTTTGTGTTGAGCGATTTAAAATTCACCGAATACGATTACTATAGCGACGACATAAAAGTGAAAAGTGAACATGCACCATTCGAATTGCATGAACATAATTTAACACAAGTTACAAGGGTACAATTTTACAGTCAGTATGTCGAAATCAAATTCACCATGGACAATTTATATGGAACACATTTACGAGCATTGGACCGTTTGCTCGATGTGTACGGTTTCAATATCACATACGAAATAGACGAAATCGTTAAGCCAAAACCGTGCAATGCCCTATTGTGCCGTTATCTGGGCCATTGCTATGCAACCAGCGACTTTTCGTAAGTTTGACTTTTTTTTGTTATGCTTTCTATCTCTTTTTGTCCCAAACATCAACCAAAGTAGACAGTAGTTGTAAGTGCAACACTTTTTTTTCTCTCGTAATCATGGTCGACGGCACTTTTGCTGGTGTATATGTGTATGGGTTTTTTCAATGCTTTTGATTTGGAGCCACATTTTTCGGATGCACTTTATTGCAATACGTTTTTTTTTTTTTGGTTAAATGCACGGATTTCTCTCATTGTCCCCTTTTAAATGCGTTTTACACTCTTTTTCATTCATTTTTGTGTGTATGAGCGCGCGAAAAAAGACTCAAGTCTATTTCGGGTTTGGTAATTTAAACTCAAGAATTTATTTCATTTGGTATTGCAACGTAAACTACAATTTTCATAATAACTCTATGCAGTTTAGAAAAAACACATGCAAATTCAAAATTGAATTCAAGCGATGTGCTTTGCCCACAATTTTAAGCCACAAAATACGACTACTGTTCATAAAAGAGTAAATGAGGTATTTCCATTTCGAGAGGAATCATTAGTCTTTTCTCACACTCACACATTTATATACAAATAACCATCATTTTATGGTAGTTATATTACTTGGCTTTAAGCGAGCTACTGTGAATTCAGAGATATTTTTTACCATTTGTCGGAGCGTTCACAAAAAAACGCTTTCCGTTCGTTCTTTATGCATTCTCTCTGTGGGAATCGAGGAAATTCAATTACATTGTAACTCGTTGAAAAAAATATTTTATGTATTCCATTGCCAAAAATCTAAATCAAACGCCCCAAAGTTATATCAAAGCTTTCACAACATTCTCTTTCGCTTTTGCGCTTAGTGAAACGATGGGAAAAAGTATGAACACGAAGTAAATAAAACAGAGGAAATACGAAGCGCCAGAATAAATAAATGGTAAGTCAGCTAGTAGACTGACACACGAAATAAATGGAGTCATTTTCATAGAAAATCCGCTTTAGAAAGAAAATAAAAGTTCGAATTTGGTATTCCATTGAGAATATTACACCAACAACATAAAACACAATATAAATTGTGAACGAGTCGAAATCGTGATCGATAAGTGAAAGCAATAATTCAAGTTGAATCAGTGTTCGACTGTTGAAAATTCTTCCATGCAATCCATACGTGATTATTTCATTCGCTTTTCACTACTTTGTTTAATAATCAAATTACTTTGTTTCTACACCTCTTTGTACCCAAGCGGCATAGGTTCTGACATTGTTGAGTATCGGAGAATGTATTGATATTTGATTTTTGTAGAAAAAAAGTGTTATGGAGTAATTTTGGTCGGTGATTTCCGAAAAAAATTGATGTAGCTTACAGGTCAGCACATTCGCAATATATTCGCGTTGTTAGCAAAATTGCATAGGCTCTAAGTCATACAGGGCTGTAATTTTCACTCTGTCAGTGCACGCACACAGTAGTGTGCACACTCACATTCTATGTGCGTCGCACACAATGCTTGTATTTTGCATGTGCGCGCACACTTAGTCACAAGTTTGACATTTTTGGCGGTTGGCAAATTTGTAACTAAGTGTGCGTGCACATTCAAAATACAAGCACTGTGTGCGACGCACATTGAGTGTGAGTGTGCACACTACTGTGTGCGTGCACTGACAGAGTGAAAATAACAGCCCTGAAGTCATAGGGGGTCTTCACAAGAATCAATTTCCCTAGCAAATTGAAACATTTTCTCTCGGAAAAATCTCAGTAAAGTATTGCAATCACCCCAAAATTTTGAAATCGGTAATAATCGTTTTTCTATGCGTTTTGGGTATAAAGAAGCACAGAGCAACTGTTTTTTGGCCATGTTAATGTGGGGATGTGGTACACTGTACCCTGTACCCTGTACGCAAAAAATTTATTAACACGATAACTCTTCTTAGAGAAAAGCAAATCCAAATGTGACTTTACAGGGTGATTGGGGGTTGCGAGGAATTGGCTGGTATTGTTTTTCAGGGATATTCGTTCATCGGTGTATCCACGGTGACACCATGATGGTGTACCCATAAGGGGTATGGTATGCAAAAATTTGTTAATCCGATAAATCTTTCCCCAGAGACGTAAATTTAAGTTTGAAATGTGTATTGGGGGGTTTTTTGGCACGAGAAAACCAAATCCGGCGTTAGTTTTGAGATATAATCAAGTTTTAAAAAATCACAAAAAATTGAATTTTTTACACAATAAAATAACGTTCTGAAAGTTTGAAATAAGTTCAATCAAAATCAGGAGTACCTCCCATACAAAAAGAATTCGATCCCATTAATCAGAGCAATGACCATTTGGAATATTAAATTTGAACAATCACTAGCCAATATCACTAAAACATTCACAATCACGAATTGGAATTGTTTGACATGTTTCAGTTTTGTTTTATCCATGCAAATTCGGCGTCGAAGGTAGAGGTTGTGTCTCTATGTATTGGTGAAATTGAATTGAAAAAGTAAATCGGTAATTTTTCCATTGAATAACATATAAACTTGATGGCTTGTCAATCTTAATCATTTCAAAGAATTTCACCGAATAATGTAACACACATGTCACGGAAATAACTCCAAATCAAGAAAAGTGTCATTGTTTAAGCATATAACCGACGAGTATTGCTGATTTCACGTATCTGTCACGTGTCGAGAGATCAAAAGACAAAGTTGGTGTTGTTCTAATACGAAACTTTTTCCATTGAGATGCTCATTGAAATATCTGATGGCAAAGAAAAGGCGCCGAAAATTAATGAGCTCATGTCATCAGCAAGACATCGTCCTCAGATAAAATACATAACATAAAAAAATAAAACAATTAAGTCGCTTCACTGAATATGATAAATTAATGATGTGTATCAACAAGATCAACATCTTGCCTGTATCGATTTATACAGCCAGTGGAAAATTATGTAATAACATCATTGTCGTTGTCACTGTAACAATCAAATCAAGCGTGTTTTTGGTCGGTGGTTGTGACTTTGATAAATTTTTAATGTATAGGCTAGAATGTTTGTCATCTTAACGAAAATCGCCCATCAACCGAATGACGTCACCGCTATAACAAGAGAAGAAATTCATTTGGCTTATAAATAAACAAGGAAAATAAATAATCGAGCATGACTTAAGCGACGACAGTGACTGTGTGTATTCGAAATTGAATGTAACTGGCACCCTTGGTTACACTTAATCTATTTGCAAACAGTCAAGAAGGTGGTGAATGTTTTGTTGTTTGCGGTAACCATAGTTGATTTTAGTGGTTCTTCAGATACAGTGGATGTAGAGATTCGAACGTTTGAAGTGAAAAAATTGGACTAACATGTCATAAAATACACATATAACAATATATATTACCAACATTAAATTGTTTCGACAACAAAAATAATATGATAATGGAGTGTCACTTTATGGAGTTTATTTGATACGAAAAAATCCACTTCCGGAATTTCAAAAACGTCAATTAAATAAAGTATCTTTTGGACGATGCACTCACTCTTATTTTTCATCATTCCCATTCGAGTACTTACGTGTTTACTGAACATTTTTAGTATACCACATCTTTAGTCAATGTTCCTCCACTTTATGCTTGCATTGAATGACAATGAGAACGATACTCGACGCAAAAATGGTCATTTAAAGTATAAAAGTACATCTTCAAAGAGAAAAAAGAAGTAGTTAAAGTTTATCGAACTTTTTTTTTCTATTTGTGTTGATAATTTATAATGGTTTTGAACAAATTAAAAACTACAACTCTCTACCAGAATATATTTGCTTTGAACATATTCATAAATATGTTATTTTATGGTACATTGTTGTGGTTTTTATTTATCGAAAAACTTGTGAAACGCTTACTTTATCTACGAAAATGATTACGTGTCGTCTGAATGAATCTTGTGGTGTGCAAACATTGGCAATAAAAAGCAGTGATTTTATTTCCGAAATCGTTGCGTTTGAATGCGTGATCTCTTATGAAGAGGGACAAATCAAGAAAAAAAAACGAAAGCGAATGAGAGATAGAGAAAGAGTAAAAGCGACTAAATAAAAAAAGACAGAGTGAAAGATAAATAAAAAATGTAAAGGATAGAGAGAGAGAAAAGCGTATGTGCGAGGAAAGTAACAGAGATTGAAATTGGCTAAGTTGGCAGTTGCAATGTGATATACGAAATAATGATAGCAATGAATTTGAAGGCAACGACAACAATCGCACTGTAGAAACGTACAGAGTCGTAATAAAATGCAAGTTCATAGTGTGAGACAGAGAGCAAATAGCGCAATGCAGCTATGGAATATTTTGTACATCTTCTGTGGTTATGATTCCATTTGCTTGCTATATCTTTTTTTGTAATGTGTGAATTTTTCCAAACGAAGTATTTCAGTTTGAATTTGATCTTTTTCGCTGCCGAAATAATTCTTTGCGAGTTTTTCGTCGCTCAAATCACGCACAAACCAAATTGTACGAGATTGTACACGATTCCAATCGCCATATCAAACAGAGTCAAACGAACAGAAATCACAAAATGTTTGTGTAAATCAGCGAAAACGTGCGTTTTTGCACCATCAATTTGCCGAGAAAAACGAAAACATTCGACGATCGAAACACACAGAGAGCAAATGAGTTTGGTAATCAAATGCTCTAAATCCATTTTATTTGTTTTAGATTGTGTCACTTGTGTGATTTGTTTGCATTCGTTCTAATTCGTTACGTTTCCCAATCAAAGTTAGCATTTTTCGATTTCGTGCTGGCTTGCGACTCAATGTCATACAATTTCAACTCTAATTCAAATCCAATTATATTTTGAACGCGCACATACCACATTTTCGACCAACAACAACCAAATATTACATTTATCACCGAAAAAAATACATTGGGCTTTGCCATCACAGCGCATACATCATGTTATTGCACAAAACGCGCTTTGCTTTGTCGTAAAATGCAATATTTTTTTTCTTTTTGCATCAACACGAACCATTTTCAATTCAATTTTTTTTCAACTGCATTGTCACGA